TCTCAGCTCCTGTCAGAATTCTAGGAGATGCAGTAATAACAGCAGCACCTTTCATAGAAATGTTTAATTTAGGTGTTCTGAAAAGATTTTTTTTTTTCAGTCGTTAGGAGGCTTATGGACTTTCAAGACAGTCACATAAAAAGAGGACAGAAAGACAAACTGAAAATAACAGAATTCAAGAAGCAAAACACAGGGGAGCTTTAATATTATGGCAAGAAGGAAGATCAGTCAAGAGTGTTACATCAAATCATCTAGCACAGACTTGCAGTAGCAATTTCATACATGTTATCAAATATCTTATAATTTTGTGTCAATTATACCTCAATAAAGCTAAAATAACATGCACTTGGTATTTTGAAAATTATGGATCACAGCAGTCTGTCAATGTTTAATCCATGCCCCTTACAATGCTTTCTCATTCTATTTTCTATGTATTCCAAGATTTTGCCCAGTTTTCCCTTCAACGGTCTCTTTTATAAAAACAATAGATTTAATATGTTTTTCCAAGATCCACACTCTTCCCTGGAGATTCTAATACTACTACAAATACAGACTAAAAAGGACTCTGGCCTGGTCATATATATCCAAGAGGACATAACCAGGCCTGGCTTTTATGTCTGTATTTGTATTCATTATTTTTAAGAAAAAAACTACTCATGGTAAAGATTAAGGGTACAGAAAATTTCTAAGTTAAGACTTCTATTTTTACTAATGTACATTTTAAGATATTTCCTTAAACATCTTTTTAGAAAACATCTTTCTATTCATATAGTTTTATCATTATATTTTTAATTATTTTCCATTTTTTATACTTCCTCCACAAAAGTTGCTAGCCTCTGAGTTCTTTTTTAGAAATTTCCTAGGGACGCCTAGGTGGCTCAGTCAGTTAAGTGTACGACTTTAGATTGCTACTCAGGTCATGATCTCGTGGTTAGTGAATTTGAGCTTCAAATCAGGCTCCGCACGGAGTGCAGAGCCTGCTTGGGATTCTCACTCTCTCCCGCTCTCTCAAATAAAATAAACTTAAAAAAATTTTTTTCTACCTCCCATCTTATTCCCTAAAGTTAAATGACTTTAGGTAAATGACAAAAATAAAAACCTATGTACATTCAAAATAGTATTAACCACTAAGGGAAGTCTTCTTCAGCCCACAAATCACATGCTAAAGATCTACACGACAGTCTGTGGTCCTCACCTCTGACACCCATACTTCACTTCACTTCACATACTTCGACCACCTTGCTCCCAAGATATCCAAAGGTACCTCTAGTGTACAATCTCTAAGGTCTGCCTCTCTGTCGTTCCCACCTACAATCACAACTAATTTGTCCTTTCAGGACATTTTTCCCTTTTAACGCTTCCCTCATTGTGGTGAGTAACAAGGGAACAAGGGAAAAGTCAAAAGAGATAACAGGATCAAGACTGTACCCAGGGGGCGCCTGGGTGGCTCAGTTGGCTAAGCGTCCGACTTTGGCCCAGGTCATGATCCCGCGCTTCATGGATTTGAACCCCACGTCGGGCTCCATACTGACAGCTCAGAGCCTGGAGCCTGCTTCAGATTCTGTGTCTCCTTCTCTCTCTGCCCCTCCCCTGTCTGTCTCCCCTCACACTGTCTCCCAAAAATAAATAAACATTAAAAAAAAAAAAAAAAAAAAGACTATACTATTTCAAGAGACCTGCTTTGCAAAAACAGCTAAATCCTTCAGGGATACCATTAAATATTTAGATGATACAATGTTTCGTTTTGTTTTGTTTTGTTTTTAAAGAATGAGTATAACTTTGAGCACAGTTCTAAAGTCAGTGCAATGGTTCTCAAGATCTCTGGCTTACTACAAAACTTTGTATTCAAATCGAACCAAACACTACACTACAGATCTAATTCCAAATCATTTCATCACCATTACTACTGCTCTTAAAATTAAAAACATGCAAGACTGTTAACAAAACACTTGCGTAATAATGGGGGGGCCTAAGTGGCTCAGTCGGTTAAGCATCAAACTCTTGATTTGGTTCAGGTCATGATCTCATGGATTCATGGATTCAAGACCTGCATCCTGCTCCTTTTACAGTGCGGAGCCTGCTTGAAGTTCTCGTTCTCGTTCTCTCTCTCTCTCTCTTCCCCTTATGCACATGCACCCTCTCTTTCTCAAAATAAATAAACTTTAAAAAAAGAAATTTAAAAAAATACTTAAGTAACGCCTTTTAATAACTAGTGTATTTATTACAGGGCAAACAGAAGATCAGTAAGGAGACAGTCCAATACAATGAATGGGCACTCAAGTTATACGGAATCTCAACTCCATCATGCCTCTCTCTGGTGTCCCCAATTATTGGAACCAGTCTGTATGCTCTACATTTAATCAGCCTTTTGATATAATTTTACTATTATAATTATGAATCTTATTATCTTGCTTTTTCAGATTGTTCATAACAACCTTACATCAATCCATGTAACTCTCACACATCCACACATACCCTCACATCAAACATGTATATACACATAATGGTTTTTATTTGTTGCTATACTATTGATCAGAAATGCAACCTCATTGTAATAGTGTTCCCTAAAACAGGACATCCCTACAATGTAAGTACCAAGAACACAATGAAATAAACAGATAGTGCTCAATTTCATAAATAATTTTATTCTTTCCTTGCTGAAACTCTGTTCCTAGAACATTTGACCTTAGTGCCTACGAAGTTAAGTTTCTTTTTTTTGAAATAAGTTTCTTAAGACTTATTTCTCCTAGTCCTTTTAATCTTATAAATATATACAACATTTCTTAATTTAGGTCAAGGTTACTTCCATTTGTCAAGTCACTAATTTTCTGATTTCATTATTCTGAAACATTAAAGATTTACTTTTGTCTATTTTCCCTAAATTTACTTCTATCTAGTCCTTCCCACAAATGGAAATCTTTTGAATACAGAGGTTTAATTTAATTTCTCACTTTACAGATGATAAAATGAACCAAAAAGAGTAGAGTGTTTTTTAGATTTTGCAAGCTAGGAAAAAAAAAAAAAGTTTTAGTGTCACTATTCTCATTCTAAAATTCATTTTACCTTAGACTGAGGTTTTACATTTGCCAGAATCAAATAAAAAAAATACCCAGCCACTAATATTCTGATCCCTTCAAGAACTCACTCAGTACTCTACTTACTAATTAAACTAGCCTTTCCATATTTTGAACATAGCTAGCTACAGCATGAAATGCTCATTATAAATGCGCAAATACAACTAACTAGAATTTAAACAAAAAATTGAAAAAATAAAAATAAATGAGCAAATATATTAATCTATTATAAGAAAATCTAAACAGCAGATGCAAATTTTTCCTCCTTGTCACAATCTCCCAAAGATTAGACAATTTTATCCAAAGAGATCATAATTCAAAAAGTACTCTTAAGATTCTAGAGACTTGAAATTAACGTAACTAGGGTTGTGGACTGCTTACCTATAATTAAAATTTGCCATCTATCTTTTAGTAAAAGGAAAAAGCCTTCAGGTATTCATCAAGTAGAGAAAAGTCTAACAGTCTTCTGTGAAGAAGCAATTTCCCCACCACCAAAGAAATTATCTCTAGAGTTTTATCTTTTAGAAGGAAACTATCAGCACAGTCACAATTATGAGGATAGACTGTTAAGTGAAAACACTCAATAAATAAAACATGCCTTTATTTATTCACTAACTTTTTCACATTTCCAACTAAAAAAGAAATACAAGCTTAAGACTCATCAACCCCCTATCACATAAAATTTACAAAACAAATACACAAGGTTTACAACAATGCACAAGATTGAATAAACAACAGAATCCAAATTTGGGGAAATAAAAAAGGAATGGGTGGTAATTTAACAAAACATTAACAGATGTAACTGTGGGGTGGGATACGTGTTTTATTTTCTTCTTTATACGTTTCTATAATTTTCCCACAGCGAACATTACTTTAGTAATCAGAAAAAAATTCATTTAAAAGTAAACCGTACATCACATAATAAAGGTTCATTTAGAAGGGTTCTTCATATTATGCAAGTATTATTGACATGAATCACACTAATGTCTCCACACTTCTCACTTTCTAACACTAAAATGCTAACTTTTCTGCTGCATCTCCCAACATTTCATGTCTACATACATGCACGCGTTTCATTTTTTTCATACAACGTAATAAAGGTCTCGCCAATCCTACATTGTCTTTTTTTTTTTTTTTAAAAAAACCGCCTCTAAATTTCGTTATAACAAAATTAGGGGAGGTGAGGGGAAGGACGACTTTACAACTCCGTGAGGCCACCATCACTTTAGCTACGGAAAAGTCAAGGCCGGATAAACTACACGTCCCACCATGCATTGCTGCCTTGTTCAGAGTAGGTCTCTACGGAAACAGAAAAAAAAAAATTCTACAAGTCCCACCTGTTACTTCGTTTCTAAACACCTCCTGCACTTTCAGCTTCAACAGCAAACAAAAACAAGAGCCTCGTGACCTCACGTTGGACCCGGGAGCCCAGACGAGCAGGGAACCCGGGGTCAGGCGGCATGTCTGCTATAGCGGGTAAATTCTACCAAGATCCAGCGCTCCTCTCTTCTTTCCGGGGCTGGGTGCACGCACAAGCCTTCGCCTATCTGCATCCAATGGGGGCTCTTCAGCCGCACACGGGAGAAGAACCGGCTACAGTGCAAGCACAACAGACTTCCCCATGCCGGGGCGGGGGCCACCACAGAGTGGAGGTGAGAGCGACGTGACCCCGAGAGGCAGCTTCAAAACACCAAGGGGACTTGTCGCAGACGCAGGGAGAAGCCACAGCCCCGCGGCGACCCTCTTCCGCTGGGCGCCTCCATTCCCTCAGGGATCACAACCCCGACACTAACCGCCGCCCTCTCCGCGCGGTTTCGTGCCCCCTTCAGCCGGGTCGCTGGGCCAATGACCTCCCTTCCCCTGCGACCGGCAGGCGGCGAGGGAACAAAATTCTCCCGGGCTTCCCCTTCGCTCCCTCCCCCTTACCGTCTTGGCGGCCTCCGCCCAGGTCCTGCCCTTCTTCCTACGGCCCTTTTCCCTCATGTCGGGTCTTGAACTGACTGGGAGGCTCCCGTGTCCGGGCTCCGGCCGCCCTCCCTGCCTGCTCTGCCCTGCGATGCTTTTCCCGCGGTGCCGGGAAAAGTGGGAGAAAGGGGAAGTCAGGTCCGAGGAGCACCCAAGCAGAGGAAGCAGCGGGGGTGGTGCGCGGAGGGGGGGGCGGGGGTCTATGGGGCGGCCGGTCCTTCTGCTGCCGTTGCCACTGCTACCGCCGCTGCCATATTGGGTCCTTACTGTACAGGCAGCCGCTACGGTCACGTGACCACTCCCGCGCGGCCGTCACTACTGTACGCAGCCGGACGCGCGAACGTGCGCGCGCGCGCCCCCGCCTCCCGCGCGGGGCCGCAGGACGAACGAGCCGGCGGTCCGCTGTGTCTCGTCACTCCCCCGCCCTTCCGCTCTCTGCCTCTTCTGTGGAGCATGCGCGGGAGGGAGGGCCGACGCTCATGTGCGTCGAGCGTCGGGCGCTCACGCCTACAACGAAAACCTGCCTGCGGAAGCGGAACTTGATCCGTCCCGGAAGGCTTATTGAGCGGAGTCTGACCGCGTGCAGGGCGCTGTGGTGGCTGTAGAGACTTGGAAGAGCCGTACCTTATCCTCAAGCGGCGACTTTCCCGACTATCAATTTCAATAAGCCTCGTACTTGTGTTTTTTCATGAGCGCATGTTCAGTTTTATTAAGATTATCTCTGTGACGATTTGGAACCATTTTCGTGTGCTCAATCCCTTTGGCTAGATAACCAAGTTGAGTTCGACTTGCCAAGCTCACCATTCTAGGGTGTGGGGAAACCAAGAATCAAGTCGCCAGCTCAAGAGCCGTTTTCCCATCTCCTGGAATGCTTTTAAAACTTAAATGACCCCCTCCGCCTTTTCTTAAAGGCTACCAGTGTCCTGCTGGAATCGCGAGTCCCAGAGACCTCCAAGGAGCCGGCACGGATGCAAGTACAAAAGGGTCTTTATTACAAGCTCAAGCAGGGGCTCACCCGCCTACCGGTGTCGTGGCAGCAAGGTGAAGCAAAGAACAATAGCGAACAGGGCTTTTAAGGAGTAAGGGATGGGGGTGTTACAGTACATGTAGCATCATCACATGAGCACCAATTACAATTACAGGTTTGACCATTCAGTATCTGTGAGGTGTTCATTACTTTTGGTGGGACCCAATCATGACTCTTGAGAATCCTTTGAAAATGATCAATTATGAGGTGAGTTCAAAGGGCCCAAGTAGGGTTTAGGCAAGCAGTGAGAAATTGGCTAGTTTGTATCTGCAGTTCCCAGCCTTGACTCAGACCATAGGAGTGTTTTTTGATTAGCTGATCTGAGGGCGGTCCGAGGATGGCTTTAGTCTTGAACAGTCTGAGGCTTTTCCTGGGACTGGGACGGGCTACGTGCAGCCCAAGGTTTCTCTTAATGGAGGACTTCATTTTTGGCTCTTCACCAGTAAGTATGTTCACTTTTTTTCAAGTGAATAGTCTCATCAAAGACCCAGATGATGTCTTTTCTTTCTTGGGGACCACAATCCACTTGCACAGTGCCTGTAAATATCAGGCACCCAGTAAATATTTGCTGAATGATAGACCTGACTGTAGTCAAAAATGATTATTTGTAGTGTCTATAACAGCCTCCTGAAAAATCCAGAATGTGTCATCTTCCATCACATCATCCAATTTTTGTACTTTGCAAAAGTAAAAAGAATGTGTAGTAACAGTCAAATCCATCTGCTTTCAGAAATTGCATCTAGTTTAGTAAACTTAGCCCTAGGCTATAGTCTAAGAGGACTGAGCATTGGACTGCCTCTTGGAAGGAAGGACAGGTGAGAGCAATACTTAACTTGGAGCCCATGGTTGGGTTTCAGAAGCTCATGGAACTCCCTAAAATTATGAACAACATTTTAGTGTCATTGTGCATTTTTGAGAAGAGAACTCATAACTTTTTCTCAATTTTCCAAAAGGGGCTATTACACCTAAAAAAGGCCTTTTTTTAATGTTTATTTTTGAGAGACAGCAGTGTGAGTGGGGAAGGGACAGAGAGAGAAGACACAGAATCTGAAGAACATTCCAGACTCTGAGCTGTCAGCACAGAGCCTAATGCAAGGCCCAAACCCACCAACCCATGAGATCATGACCTGAGCTAAAGTCAGACTAACTGAATGAGCAACCTAGGTGCCACCCCAAAAAACGTCTTATTAGGGAGTTTGAGAGGCCATCTAGATACTTCGTTATAATTCAACTTAAGTCATTGATCAAACAGCTCCATAACAGCATAATTGATGTGGGCATATTTTCACAAATCCTTTCAGTTACTTAGAGCACTCTCCATAGCACTCAGGGTATGTACCATCTCCCTCTAAAGCCTAGGTTTAGAGGTGCCTGGCTGGCTCATTCGGTACAGTGTGCAACTCTTGATCTCCAGGTTGTGTGTTCCAGCCCCACGTTGAATGTAGAGATTACTTAAAATTAAAGCCTTAAAAAAGAAAAAAAGCGTCGAGTGGGGGGGGAGGGGAAGGAGGATGATGGGCATGGAGGAGGGCACTTGTGGGGATGAACACTGGGTGTTATATGGAAACCAACTTGACAAACTATTTAAAAAAAAGGGGGGGGCGCCTGGGTGGCTTAGTCGGTTAAGCATCCGACTTTCACTTAGGTCATGATCTCACGGTTCGTGAGTTTGGGCCCCGCGTCGGGCTCTGTGCTGACTGCCAGCTCAGAGCCTGGAGCCTGTTTCAGTCTGTGACTCCTTCTCTCTCTGACCCTCCCCTGCTCACGCTGTCTCTCTGTCTCTCTCTCTCTCTCTCTCTCTCTCTCTCTCTCCTAGAAATAAATAAAAACCTTAAAAAAATAAATTAAAAAAATAAAAATTAAAAAAAAAAAGCCTAGGTTTATAGTCAGTTTAAGAAGTCCCTCTCCATTCCTAGATGTTAAGCAATGTGAGGGTTCATTGAAGGCACACAGAAACACCAGCTCAGAAACAATACCTTGTGAGGATGAGGCACCATCCTGAAGAACACATTTGTACACTCTAAATCAGTTACCAATATATGGTGCTTTGTCTCCAGTAGGTAGAAAATAAGGGTCTGGAAATGAAGGGATGAAGGTTGGAATGACCTGCTTTGTGCGTCCTATCAACTCAATAGAAAATCATGGTTTCTTTTTTTTTTAAATGTTTTATTTATTTCTGAAAGAGAGACAGCATGAGCAGGGGAGGGTCAGAGAGAGAGGGAGACACAGAATCTGAAACAGGCTCCAGGCTCTGAGCTAGCTGTCAGCACAGAGCCCGACACGGGACTCGAACCCACGAACCATGAGATCATGACCTGAGCTGAAGTCGGACACTTAACCAACTGAGCTACCCAGGTGCCCCAGAAATCATGGTTTCCAAAGAGAAATGCTTCCGCTAAAAGGCCACTTCAGATGTCTTATATCAAGGGACCAGCAGACATGACAAGAAGGCACCTTCTTTCTTTTTTTTTTTTTTTTAAGTAATCTCTATACCCAACGTACCGCTAGAACTTATAACTCCAAGATCAAGAAACGCCAATTGAGCCAGCCAGGCACTCCAGAAAAGTCACCATGTTGGTAGGGGTAATTGATCCCAACCATCCAGAGGAAGCTGGAATTCTGTTACACAGTGGAAGATGGAAGGACGATGTTTGGCACCCAAGTGATGCACTTGAGTATCCCTTGGTGCCTTCTTACCCAATTTTGTAAATGGAAAAGTACATCAGGCATGCCCTAAAAAGGCATTGGTATCAGGGGCTAATGACCCCCCGGGCATAAAGATCTGGGTCATATCACCAGGTAAAACTCCTGGACCAACCAAGGTACTAACTGAGGATGAGAAGAATCTATGTTCAGATAATAAACGCAGGAGACAACAAATACAGTCGGGCCCTCAATATCAGCCGCAGTGGTGGAGGATGCATACTGTCCCAGTCCCCTCTCCTTATAAGCCTTCTTCAGCAAGAGAGGCCCGCCAGAACCTGGAAGACTTGCACCTGGCACTTATACAACTAAATGCTTCCAAGGAGCACAAAAAGTGGACTGTAGAAGACACTGATTGACTTCCCATAGCCACCTTCAGGACTGAAAACCTCATTTCCCCATTTGGGGGGAATTTCCTGAGAAGCTTCATCAGCTAAAGAGAGCCATTTTGTCTGAGATCACTTCTTCGGGAATCTTACCTTCAATGACTGGTCAGTGTTGGGGCATAAAAGCCTGGGCACCTCACCCCAATTCAGGACCACTCTGAAGTGCTAACCCAGGTTCAGAGCTCCCCGGGGAGCTGGCTGAAACATTTGCTGAAACTGCATCAGAGCCCAGCTTCTCCCTCTGCCCAATCCTGCTTCCTTCTGTTCCCCAAAGGTGTTGATCTTGAGGACATTCTCTCTCTCTTTTTTTTTTTTTTTTTTAATTGCTAGGAGAGAGAGAGAGACAGCGTGAGCAGAGGAGGGTCAGAGAGAGAGGGAGTCACAGACTGAAACAGTCTCCAGGCTCTGAGCTGGCAGTCAGCACAGAGCCCGACGCGGGGCTCGAACCCACAAACCGCGAGATCATGACCTGAGCTGAAGTCAGACGCTTAACCGACTAAGCCACCCAGGCGCCCCTTGAGGACATTCTCTAATAAACTTCCTGCATGCTAATCTCCATCTCACAGCCCACTCTCTGGGAACCCCACTCTGCAGCAATGCTGGTGAATACATACAAAATTTCCAGAAGGATACACAAGAAGTTATGAAAAGGAATTATGTCAGAGAAATGAGACTGGTGATTGGGGATTATGAGAAGATGACTTTGTCTCTTTTTAATAAAAAATACTACGGGGCGCCTGGGTGGCTTAGTCGGTTAAGCGTCCGACTTTCGCTTGGGTCATGATCTCGCGGTTCGTGGGTTCGAGCCCCGCGTCAGGCTCTGTGCTGACTGCCAGTCAGAGCCTGGAGCCTGTTTCAGTCTGTGACTCCCTCTCTCTCTGACCCTCCCCTGCTCACGCTGTCTCTCTCTCTCTCCTAGAAATAAATAAAACATTTTAAAAAAATAAAAATAAAAAATACTAATTATGATTATTGATGAGAGCTAACTAATAGAGTTTAAAAAGAGAAAGGGTGAGGGATTTTAGTTCTTTTCATCCTAGGTTTCTTTGCTGCCACAGAAGAAGCAATCTGAAATTTGTTGAATTGAATTGAGTTTTGTTTTTGGTGGTTTTGTGTTATGAATTAAA